GTCGTGGGGGTTTAATAGTTACTCTTTATCAGGTTAAGGAATTCCCTTCTAATTCTAATTTATAAAGAGTTTTTATCCTGAATAGGCATGGGATTTTAGCCAATACTTTTTCCGCTTCTATAGACAGGTTCATATGGTTTTTCTCTTTTAAGCCGTTTATATGATGAATTACATTTATAGATTTCCTGATATTAAACCACTGTTACGTAACTGAAATAAGTCCTACTTGGTAGTGGTGTATTATCTTTTTAAAATTTTTACCCATTTGAGTCAACTTGCTAAATTTTTTTTAGAATTGTGGTTTTTATTTTTCATGAGATAAATTGGCTTGGAATTTTTTTCTTAAGTGTCCTTATCTTATTTTCTTTCGTATCAGTGTTATAATGGCCTCAATAAATGAGTTGAGGAACAATTTATTTCTTCTATTTTCTGGAAGAATTTAGGTTTTTTTTCTGGCATTCTATTTTATTTATCACTCATTCACTTGTTTTTCAGCTTCCAAATTTTTATTCCATTTCTTGTCTGCTATTATTCTCATATTGTCCTTGTCTTTTATGGGTATATGCCATTTGAACGGGCTTTCTGGGAGATAAAAGGAGCGAAATACGTGTGTTCACTTTGCCATGTTTAACCTAAAATCTGGTATTTCTGTTTCCTTTCCCATTAATTAATTTATCTATAAAGTTTGACTAATGGAGAGTTGATTGTATAAAGAGTAGATTGAAGTCTGAGCCTGGGTGTTTAATTTTAAATTGTTCATTGTAATGGAAAAACTAAGAAGCCTATACCGTCATACTTCAGAGATATTGCAGGTTTAGTTCCAAACCACCACAATAAGGTGAGTACTGCAATAAAGTGAGTCACACAAATTCTTTGGTTTCCCAATGCCTATAAAAGTTATGTTTACACTATACTGTAGTCTACTAAGTGTGTAATAGCATTACGTACATACCTTAATTAAATAATATACATACATAATGTACATACCTTAATTAAAAATACTTTTTTGCTTTAAAATGCTATTGATCCGCTGGGCGTGGTGCCTCACACCTGTAATCCCAGCACTTTGGGAGCCCGAGGCAGATGGATTGCTTGAGCTCAGGAGTTCGAGACCAGCCTGGGCAACATGGCAAAACCCTATCTCTACAAAAAATACAAAAATTAGCTGAGGTGGTGGTGTGTGCCTGTAATCCCAGGCTGAGGATTACAGTTCGGTGGCTGAGGCAGGAGGATCACTTGAACCTGGGAGGTGGAGGCCGCAGTTAGCTGAGATTGAGCCACTGAACTCCAGCCTAGGTGACACAGTGAGACCCTGTCTTAAAAAAAAGCATGAATCATCTGAGCTTTCAGCAAGTCATAATCTTTTTTGCTGCTGTGGGTCTCACCTCCACGTTCATGGTTGCTGACTGATCAGGATGGTGGTTGCTGAAGGTTGGGGTGGCTGAGGCAGATTAAAAAAAAAAAAAATGAAGTTTGCTTCATTGATTGACCCTTCCTTTCATGAAAGATTTCTCTGTAGCATTCGGTGCTGTTTGATAGCACTTAACCTACAATAGAGTTTCTTTCAAAACTGGAGTCAATCCTCCAAACCCTGTCACTGCTTTACCAATTATGTTTATCTATTATTCTAAATTCTCTATTGTCATTTCAACAATGTTCATAACATCTTCACTAGGACTAGATTCCATTTTAAGAAACCACTTTCTTTGCTTACACATACGAAGCAACTCCTCATCCATTAAAGTTTTATCACGAGATTGCAGCAACTCAGTAATATCTTCGGTCTCTACTTCTGATTCCAGTTCTCTTGCTATTTCCACCACATCTGTAGTTACTTCCTTCACTGAAGTCTTGAACCCCTCAAAGTCATCCATGAGGGTTGGGATCAACTTCTTCCAAACTCCTGTTAAAGTTGATATTTTGACCTCCTCTCATGAATCATGAATGCTCTTAAATGGCATCTAGAATGGTGAATCCTTGGCAGAAGTTTTTCAATTTCCTTTTCCCAGATCCGTCCCACTATCTATGATTGTTATAGCCTTAAAAAATGTGGTTCTTAAATAATAAGACTTGAAAGTCAAAATTACTCTTTGATCCATAGGCTGCAGAATAGATGTTGTGTTGGCAGGCATGAAAACAACAGTAATATCTCTTTGTACATTTCCATCAGAGCTCTTTGGTGACAAGGTGCATTGTCAATGAGCAATAATATTTTTTAAAATAATCTTTTTTAGGGGGGCAGTAAGTCTTAACAGTGGGCTTAAAATATTCAGTTAACCGGCCGGGCGCTGTGGCTCACGCCTGTAATCCCAGCACTTTGGGAGGCCGAAGCGGGCAGATCACGAGGTCAGGGGTTTGAGACCATCCTGGCTAACACGGTGAAACCCTGTCTCTACTAAAAATACAAAAAATTAGCTGAACGTGGTGGCGGGTGCCTGTAGTCCCAGTGACTCGGGAGGCTGAGGCAGGAGAATGGCATGAACCCAGGAGGCGGAGCTTTCAGTGAGCTGAGATCTTGCCACTGCACTCCAGCTTGGGCGACAGAGCAACACTCCGTCTCAAAAAAAGAAAAAAAAAGAACGCTCTCCAACCTGCTTGTTCTCTTGAAGCTTCAGGCCTCAATGGGAAATGGAGGGGAAGGTAGAAAGGCTGAAACGCCTTAGCTAACTAAGATGAGGAAAATTGGGTAAAATAGAATAGTGAGAATTAAATGATACAATGTATTCAAATGCTTTGCAAAGAGCTTTGCAGATGGAAAGTTCTATTATCAGGGCTGTGACTTCCATGAAGCTAAATATGGCATCTTCATATATTTTTTCAGCACAGTGTTGGACATTTAACAGGTGCTCTATAATTATTCAGTCTCAGTTTTTAAATTCAATTTAAGTATTATTTGGTAGATGAATGAATGGGTGTATTCCAAATCCTAGATTTCAGCCCAACATAGTGCCATTCTTGATCACTAACTTAGTAATTCAAACATATAAAGAGTGAATAAAAGTAGGAGACACATTCTGACAATTAGTATTTAATTAGTGTTTATTATTTAATCAACATTATCAATTAGCTTTAATTTAATCATGTTCAAATAGAATCTATTATAATACAGATTACATTTGCTCCTTTCCTTTTATGGTTGCTCCCAGGCTGAAAACAGAGGAAGGTGGGAAGCCCTTGTTCAGTGTAGATATATATCCCAGTCTTAGAGATGATCTTCACTTAGATATAAAGATAAGCCAAGTTAAAGCTGGGACTGAGTTTTAGGTTGCCACTCCACTTCTTTTTTTTTTTTTTTTTTTGAGACGGAGTCTCGCTCTGTCGCCCAGGCTGGAGTGCGGTGGCCGGATCTTGGCTCACTGCAAGCTCCGCCTCCCGGGTTCACGCCATTCTCCTGCCTCAGCCTCCCGAGTAGCTGGGACTACAGGTGCCCGCCACCTCGCCCGGCTAGTTTTTTTGTATTTTTTAGTAGAGACGGGGTTTCACCGTGTTAGCCAGGATGGTCTCGATCTCCTGACCTCGTGATCCACCCGTCTCGGCCTCCCAAAGTGCTGGGATTACAGGCTTGAGCCACCGCGTTTAGGTTCCAACAGAGGGAGCTCCATACTGCTTAGCATCACTGCAGTGTGGGGCACACAGATGCTTCAGTAAGAACGCATTCACTCATCCAGCAAGTGAGTATCGAGCATCTACTATGTGCCTAACAGTTAGGTGTTGGGGATACAGAGACATGAACCCTGCCCTGAAGGGATTCAGTCTACAGTAGAGGCAGACGTGTAAACAAGTAATGACCACGCAGTGCAGCAAGGGCTATAATAAAGGTGTCCCAAGGTGCTAAGGGAACTATTAACTCCAGGTCCAGGGGACAGGGAAGGCTTCATGGAATGTGAGCTTAATTTTGAAAGGCAAATAAGAGTTGATCAGCTGGATAAAGTAGACAGAACATATGTACAAATACATATGTGGAGGTAAGAACAAGCATGTTACTAGTTTGCCATAGTGATGAATAAGGCTTAAGGAGCCTGGAAAATGGGGAAAGAGGGGCTGGTTACTTGACAGGGGCAGATCATGAAAGGCCTTAATCTGTGAATTAAGAAGAGCCAGTTAATGTATACATCCAGCTCAATAAGATAAGAGACCTTAAAGTAAATGGAAAATTATACCTTTATTATACTTATGCACAAAACAGTTTTTAAAGAGTTTTTTTTTTGTTGTTGTTGTTGTTGTTTTTTGTTTTGTATTTTTTTGAGACAGAGTCTTACTCTGTTGCCCAGGCTGGAGTGCCGTGGCATGATCTCGGCTCACTGTAACCTCCGTCTCCCAGGTTCAAGCAATTCTCCTGTGTCAGCCTCCTGAGTAGCTGGGACTACAGGCGCTCACCACCACGCCCAGCTAATTTTTGTATTTTTAGTAGAGACAGGGTTTCACCATGTTGGCCAGGATGGCCTTGATCTCCTGATCTAATGCTCTGCCCACCTCGGCCTCCCAAAGTGCTGGGATTACAGGTGTGAGCCATCAATCCTGGCCTAAAGAGCTTTTAAAGAGAATTTTGTCTTTTAAAGAATCCTCAGGGGCCATTTATGCACTTCACAAGTCATCATATTTATGATTTCATACTCAGTGCCTAGTTTGGTCATTCACTTTCTCACTTTCTTTGGATTTGATCTACATGACTTTTAAATGTGTCCAAAAATCAAGCCCATTCTCAAAAGCATGAAGATTTGCCATCATTAAAAATCTCAAGGCTGGGTGCAGTGGCTCATGTCTGTAATTCTAGCATTTTGGGAGGCTGTGGTGGATGGATCACTTGAGGTCAAGAGTTCGAGACTAGCCTGGCCAACATGGTGAAATCCTGTCTCTTCTAAAAATACAAATAAAATACAGAATTAAGCAGGCATGGTGGCACGTGCCTGTAGTCCCAGCTACTAGGGAGGCTGAGGTGGGAGAATCGCTTGAGCCCAGGAGGCAGAGGTTGCAGCGAGCCGAGACTGCGCTACTGCACTCCAGCCTGCGCAACAGAGCAAGACCCTGGTTTAAAAAAAAAAAAAAAAAATCAAAAAATATTATGATTCAAACTCCTAGGGCAATTCTTAAAATGTTCTAGAAATTTTTGGAATAATGTCAGCATCATTAGAATAAAAGCTTGTACCCAAGGTGACAATTTTAAATGACAATTTTTCTTTGGCTTTAAAAGCCTCCTTTCCTCTTGGTTACTGCTAATGTAGCTCAGCAGATATTGACACACAAGAGAGCATATAACATTGGAACAAACTGCAAGAAAACAGCGATGTTGCTGGGACTTTTTCCTGAGCTTTTCAAAGCTAAGGGTGGACCCCCTCACTGAGCTAGGCAGGAAGGCCTTCCCTCTTTACCTCTGACTCACCTGAGAAGACTCACACCCTGTCTGCCTGGACAAGCAGCTGGCTGCCCTTTCTACCCAGAAAGGCTTCTCAACGGACAAGTCCAACCTGCTTGTTCTCTTGAAGCTTCAGGCCTCAATGGGAAATGGAGGGGAAGGTAGAAAGGCTGAAACGCCTTAGCTAACTCAGCACCTTTGCTGCTTTTCAGCATTTGGCAGATCTATGATGATGCCTCCTGCCATACAATTTGCAACACCTGCACTGTTCTATAACCTGTCCAGTGAGTCCTCTGATCACAGCCTTGGATGTTGTGGCAATGTCAAATTGCTTGTAATAACTTTAAATACTTACTCTCAGGTTTTGTATTTATCTCCTTAAGGACCAGTGACAGTTTCCAGGTAGTCTGCAGGCTACACTTTGAGATGCATTGTCCCAATTTTTTTCAGTGAACAGAAAGTTCTGGAAAGATGAATAGGTAAGGTGTAAAAGAATTTGGTTCCATGTTAGCACATTGAAAGCCCTGAGGAGTACTGTAGCTAAAACCAAACCAAAACAAAATTCTGTTTCATTAGTTTAATCTAGCGTTTTCCCTTACGTACAGAATATTTTCTGTTGTTCAATACCTACTGATATCTTGAGGAGTAGTGTCTTGTCCAGATGCCAATCTAGGAGATGGGAATGTAACAGGTCTCCAAGGCTTCTTGCAATTCTGAGTTAAACAGGCAAACTCTTCCCGTTGCTTGAGTTATTAATTCCATACTCCTCCCTGCTTACAAAATGTGTCTGCTGCCCTCTTTTCTCCCCTGAGATGGCTGTTGTGAAAAGAGCAAAGAACAAGAGGTGGAGTTACAGTAAGTCAAGGACCCCGGACAGAAAGTTGCTGAGGCTGAGGCCAGGGAAAACAAGAATTACTGGTGGGGATTACAAGTCAGGTCTTGCCATGAGCTTCTAAGCTTCCACTTGCTGTTATTCAAGTAGGCTACTTGCAAGATCAGCTTTCCTCCAAAAAGCTGATGTCTGTTTTCAAACGTAAGCTCACTGTCTCAGTGGTGTTGATGGATCAAAATGTTTAATGGTGTTGGAAAAGGTGGAGCCTTTTTCCACTCTGCCGGGCACAGTGTACCTCTTGCGGAGACTCCACCTAACCTTCAGATTTTCCTCTACCTCTCTTCCTATTCAGTGAGTGCTCCATGCAACCACTTTTGCATACCTATGCTTAAATCCTTATATGTGTACAAAACCCATTAATAACACCTATTATTTTTAGAAAAAAGCTAAAACTTCTTTAGCATTACTGACAAGTCTCTGTTGCTTTTCTCTTTCACACTTATATAAAATTCCCATCACTTCCTAGAATTTCCCTGACATCATCAGACTTCAATGAAAAACCCTTGGACGAAACCGCAGACAAACGACTCTCACCTTCGACAGCTCCCTTCATGCTGCTCTGCCTCTTCTGTCTTAAGCTTGTTTTGTGGAGGAAGGATCATGGAGTTTGGAATTAAAGCCCAGTTGTACTACTTCCCAGCTATATGAACTTGGGCAAGTCGCTAAATGTCCTAGTGTCATTTTCCTTATCTGTGAAATGAGGAGATTAATAAAGACTTTCTAAGGTTGTTGTGAGATGTAAAGATATTAAAAGAAAATTACTGCCTGGGTGCGGTGGCTCGCGCCTGTAATCCCAGCACTTGGGGAGGCCAAGGTGGGAGGATTGCTTGAGCCCAGGAGTTCAAGACCAGCCTGGGCAGCATGGCAAGATCCCATTTCTACAAAGAATACAAGTGTGGACATCGTGGCGCATGCCTGTGGTCCCAGCTACTTGAGTGGCTGAGGCAGGAGGATCACTTGAGCCCAGGAGGTGGAGGCTGCAGTGAGCTGTGATCGAGCCACAGCACTCCAGCCTGGGTGACAGAGTGAGACTCTGTCTCAAAAATAAAAAAAAAAGAAAGAAAATTATTTAACAAATGGTAGTTATTGCGATTCCCACAAGCTGGCCTCTGACTTGAAGCTCCTGTATGAGCCATGCTATTTCACTATAACCCAGCCCCCCTGTTCTTTTGTCAACTGGTCTTGGCTAAAGGATGCCATGTATGGTTAGCCTTTTCAGGGACAGCTTCCCTTGTGCTTCCAGGCAGAGCTTGTTCTTCCTGTGCTATCATTTGAATGTGGCATTTCCTTTATTATTGACGTCACCCTGTATTGTGACTAATTTTTTTTTTTCTTTAACCTGAGAACTCCTTGAGGGCTAAGATCTTATCATTTTCACCCTTGAATTCCTGAGGATGGTGCCTGACACTTGGTAGTTGCTCAAAACTTTTTTTTTTTTTTTAAGTAATAGGAGGCAAATGGAAGAGGCAAATGGAACAAAATGAGATTTTGCATAATCCTAACCTTATTGTAGACAAAAATTCCAAGTATTTTCCCATCGACTTTTTCTTTCAGGAGAGATGCTGAGAAAAGGATACCTACTGTTTATTTCATTTGCTTTTGCTTCAAAAGTCTTCCAGAATCGTGGAGGTACAGTTTTGGGGAGAGAAGGAAGGTACTACTGGTCAGAGTGGTTGGTACATACAACTGAGAGTTGACTGTTGACGTGTTTGGTCGATTCTAATGAGGAAGGGAGACTGATGTTGAAGAAGGAGTTAAAGTTGTCTCTGGAGTTGACCTGTGAGTTAGGCAGGTCTTGTTGTGAGTCTGACTGTATCACTAGCTGGGTGACCTTGGTTACACTACTTGATCGCTAAGTCTCAGCCTTAGGCCAATTTCCTCTCTTATTCCTGTCAAAAAACCGTTGGATCACCTCTGTCTTCAAGATTTCTGCCTCTCCATCTCCTCTACTCTAGGACAGTGACTTTCCTTCTCTATTACACAAGGAAAGTAGAGATCACTGGATGATAACTCCCTTACAGAGGAGAAAAAACTCTGTAAAATCACAGACACAAACACACACACACACACACACACACACACCCCCAGCTCAAAAACTCCTTCAACTTTCTGTCCCAATCCTTTTACCTTCAAAGTTAACTGTACCTGTGCCCCATCTGGGGGCTCCCCTTTATCTAGATTGACCATATAAATTTTCTTCCAAACTGTAACACCACAGCATAAAAGGTGTACGGTTAATTATTACAGTGGAATAAGAGGTATGAGCCAGGGCTGATTTAAGCAGCCAGAACATTCTTTACCTCTTCTTAACAATGCAAGAGATACACTTCCTCGTGTCTTTGGCCTCAGTCCTAAAAGCATTTTAACATGCTAAAGTTAAAACCAACAAATAAATCAAGATCTGAAAACTTCTTTCTACTCCTATTTCTTTCCAGTTGCCTCTGTCTCTGCCCCCTTTATAAGCTCTGTCCTTTGAAGAGTAAACTACATCCTAGTCTACCATGATTCCTCAATCTACTGCAAAATGGGCTCTGCTTCACAACTTTTCTGATGAAACTGCTTCCGCCAAAATCACCAACTGGGGAATCTTGTAGACATTTTCAGTCCTTGTTTTATTTGACTTTAGCAGCATTTGATATTTTGTGTATTCGCTCTTTTTATTTATTGATTTTTTTTGACGGAGTCTTGCTCTGTCACCAGGCTGGAGCGCAGTGGTGCGATCTTGGCTCACTGCAACTTCCACCTCCTGGGTTCAAGCAATTCTTCTGCCTCAGCCTCCCGAGTAGCTGGGACTACAGGCATGTGCCACCACATCCAGCTAATTTTTGTATTTTTAGTAGAGCCGGGGTTTCACCAGGTGGGCCAGACCTCATGATCTGCCCGCCTTGGCCTCGAAAAGTGCTACGAGTACAGGTGTGAACCACCGTGCCTGGCCCCAATATTCACTCATTATTTAAATACCTTTCTCCCTTGGCTTCTGTGACCACTCTCTCCTGGTAATTCTCTCTCCCTTTCTTCTGGACACACTTATTCAGTGACTTTAGACATCTCCTCTTCCCCTTGTCCCTTAGGTATTTTTCAACCTCTAGATTCTGTCCTTTCCCACTCTACTGTGGTCTCGGGCCGTCTCATCCATTCCCATTCTCACAATTACCTTCTGAAGGGCGAAAGACCTCAAACTGGCATCTCCAGTCCAGAACTCTCTGTAGAGCTCAGATCTGTGGTGGGTACTACTGTCAAAAGAAAAAATTACCACAGATTTAGCTTAAATATTGAATTGGTTTTTATTTGCAATTCTAGAAAAGGGCAACACCTCATTCCGTAAAACAGAATGAGTGTTCTGATGAGCTGAGCACAGGGGGTTGGCTTTATAGGTAGAAAGGGGCTGAAGAAAGCAGATACAGGGAACAAAAAGTGGATGAGCGGTTTTTTTTGCTTGCTTTTGAGACAGGTTCTTGCTCTGATGGCCACACTGGAGTGCAGTGGCATGATTATAGCTGATTGCAGCCTCGAATTCCTGGCCTCAAGCAATCCTCCTGCTTCAACCTCCAAAAGTGCTGGGATTACAGGCATGAGCCACTGCACCCAGCCTATGGGTGATTTGGAAGTGACTTTCTTTCTTAGGCTAAAACAGAGGGGACTTCTGGCTGGGCGAAGTGGTTCATGCCTATAATCCCAGCACTTTGGGAGACCAAGGCAGGTGGATCACCTGACATTAGGAGTTCGAGACCAGCCTGGCGAACATGGTGAAACACTGTGTCTACTAAAAATACACGAATTAGCCAGGCATGGTGGCACACACCTGCAATCCCAGCTGCTCAGGAGGCTGAGGCAAGAGAGTTGCTTGAACCCAGGAGATGGAGGTTGCAGTGAGCCGAGATCATACTACTGCATTCCAGCCTGGGCAACAAGAGTGAAACTCCATCTAAACAAACAAACAAACAAACAAAACAAAAAAAACCACAAAACAAAAAACAGACCGGGCACGGTGGCTCATGCCTGTAATCCCAGCACTTTAGGAGGCTGAGGTGGGCAGATCACCTGAGGTCGGGAGTTCGAAACCAGCCTGACCAACATGGAGAAATCCCGTCTCTACTAAAAATACAAAATTAGCTGGGCGTGGTGGTGCATGCCTGCAATCCCAGCTACTTGGGAGGCTGAGACAGGAGAATCACTTGAACCCTGAGGCAGAGGTTGTGGTGAGCCGAGATTATGCCATTGCATTCCAACCTGAGCAACAAGAATGAGACTCCATCTCAAAGGAACAAAAAACAAAACCAACACACACAAAAAACAAAACAAAACAAAACAAAAACAGAGGAGACTTCCTTATCGTATCAGCTCAGGTGCGCTGACCCCTTTTGATTGGTTACTGTGAATCTTCTGTTTGTTTGTTTTACACTGGCCCATTTCAGAGTTCAGTTTGATAATATGTCACCTACCATGAGTGGCTCTGTTCTGGTTTGGTCTGGTCTGCTGGGACCTAGTGCAGGAGGCTAGTCCAAAATAATGGGCTCCCATAAACTGTATTTAATAGTGCTGTACTAAACATCTCTGCTTGACTGTCCCATAGAAACATCAAATGCAACAACTCTTCATCTTCTCTGTTTCAGAGAAAGGCAGTCACTTTCCACCCAGTGACCTAGGCTCAAAACTCGAGAATTGGCCGGGCGCGGTGGCTCAAGCCTGTAATCCCAGCACTTTGGGAGGCCGAGACGGGCGGATCACAAGGTCAGGAGATCGAGACCATCCTGGCTAACACGGTGAAACCCCGTCTCTACTAAAAAATACAAAAAAAACTAGCCGGGAGTGGTGGCGGGCACCTGTAGTCCCAGCTACTCGGGAGGCTGAGGCAGGAGAATAGCGTAAACCCAGGAGGCGGAGCTTGCAGTGAGCCAAGATCTGACCACTGCACTCCAGCCTGGGTGACAGAGCGAGACTCCGTCTCGAAAAAAAAAAAAAAAAAAAACAACTCGAGAATTATCCTCCAATACTTAATACCCATTCTGTCCACTTCTAATCATGTACCAATTCCCTTCCTTTCCATCTCCTTGACAGCTCTCAAACTCTTAACTTCTCTCAATTCCCTCTGCCACTATTTCAGCTCAGGTCAAATAATCTCTTGCCTGGGTTCCTGGAAGCCTCTTCCCCGGCCTTGTTCCTTTCCAGTGCCTTTGTCCATACTGTAACTGAGCGATCTTTTAAATTCACAAATCTGATCAAATCACTTTCTGCTTAAACAGTTTCAGTGTTTCCTCATTGCCCTCAGGATAAAGCCCTAACTCCTTAACTCTTATCAAGGGCCTTTTTGGTCTGGCCCCTGATTACATTTTCAGCCTCATCTCTGAGGGTCATTCCCTTTTCTTTTTCCCCTTTTCTCTCCACTCACACTCAAGTTTTTTAATTGCCAAAAAGGCCACGTTTTTTCTTCTTTCTTGGGCTTTGTACCTACTTTTACCCCTACCTGGGCTCACCTCTCAAATGCCACCTCCCGTTGCCTACCTTGTATGTATCTTCAGAGCTGAAGAATTATAATAGTAATTGCAATAATAGATAATATTAATTGAGTGCCATTATGTGCTAAGTCATTTATTTGCACTCTTATTCAATCCTCACAACCGCCCCATGAGGAAGGCCTCATTATCCTCATTGAATGGTTGAAGACACTGAGATCCAGATACCCACACAGCAGTCAGAGTGATCATTTTAAACACGAGTCAGAACATTTTACTTTTCATTTCATAAGCTTTCTCTTTTTTGTGTGTTGTAGTAAAAATACATAACAAAAAATTTACCATTTTAACCACTTTTAAGTGTACAGTTCAGTGGCATTAAGTCCGTTCACATTCTTGTGCAACCATCATTACCGTCCATCTCCAGAGCTTTTACATCCCCCCAAGTGGAAACTATGTACCCATCAAACAATAACTCCCCGTTTCCCTCTTCCTCTAGACCCTGGCGACCACCATTCTACTTTCTGTCTCTATGGATTTGACTATTCTTGATGCTCCCATATAAGTAGAATCATTCAATATCTGTCCTTTTGTGACTGGCTTATTTCATTTAGCATAATGCCTTCAGAATTCATCCATGTGGAAATACGTGTCAAAATTTTATTCTTTCTAAGGCTGAAAATATTGCATTGTATGTATATGTCACATTTTGCTTATCCATTCTTACTTTGATGGTCACGTGAGTTATTTTCATCCTTTGGCTATTGTGATCAATGCTGCTTGGAACATCAGTGTCCAACTATCTGTTTGAGTACTGACTTTTAATTCTTTTGGGTACATGCCAGAAGTGGAATTCTGGGTCATATGGTAATTCTATGTTTAATTTTTTAGGAACTGTAATACTGTTTTTCACAGTGACTGCACTCTTTTATATTCCCACCAGCAATACACAAAGATTCCAATTTCTCCACATTCTTGCCAACACTTACTCTATTTTCTGTCTTTTTTTTGGTAATAGTCATCCTAGTGGATGTGATAATAGCATTCTAATGGACTGTGGTTTTGATTTATATTTTCCTGATGTCTAGTGATGTTCAGTATCTTCTCCTGTGCCTACTGGCCATTTTATCTTTTTGAAGAAATGTCTATTCCAGTCCTTTGCTCATTTTTTAATGGGGTTGTTGGATGCTGTTGTTGTTATTGAGTTGCAGGAATTCTTTGTGCATTCCAAACATTAATCCTTTAGCAGAAATTGATTTGCAAATATGAAATATTTTCTCCCTTTCCAGAGACTGTCTTTCATAACCCTTTAATGGCTGCCCTGTACCCCGGTGGTCTGGTCTGCCCTGTACCCCTCCATCCTTAGCCCCTCACCACTGCCCCTTCACTCTGCTCCAGCCACAATGGTCTCCTTGTTTTTCTTCAAATACTCCACACGTGCTTCTGCCTCAGGTCCTGTGCTTACTATTTCCTCTGCTGGAATGTCCTTCTTCCCGATCCACATGGTTCACTACCTCACTTCATTCAGATGTTTCTTAAGTTTCATCTTATCAGAGAGGTCTTCCCTGACCACCCCTTTCCCCTTTGTTCACTACTTTATTCCTTGTGTGCCCAGGGAAATGCCTGGCGTGTCATAGGTACCCAAAACATGTTTCTTAAATGAATGAATGAATAAATGATGTAGACCTTTGATTCACACCCAAGTTTCTCTGACCCTAGAGCCTGTAGCTGCCAGCCAGCTACACTGGATGGTTCCTGTTTTGGGAAGCCTTCCCAAGGCCTCCAGGGCTGGCTGAAGGACCCTGGCCTCTGTGTTTCTCTGATCACAACTCATTTGTCACATTGCATTGTAATTGTCTACTTATTTGACTGTGTTTCCCAAGATACAGTTAGCAACTTGAGGGTACACACTAATTTCTTGTTTGGCATCTAGCATAATTTCTAGCAACAGGGCTCAATAGGTATTAGAATGAATCAATCTCTCTGAGTCTCAATTCCTCATCTATAAAATGGAGGTATCTATGTATCGTCTTACAGTTATGGAGATCAGAACTAATATATGTAATATGCCTACCACAGTGCTGGGTACATAGTAGGCACTTGAAAAATAGTAATTTAAAATCATTAAGGGTAATTTTTATTTGTTAAAATCTACCAGTATTCTAAGGTATGTCTAAATTAGAATGATAAAATGTAATGATTCTCCAACACTTTATTACTGAATCTGTGTTGTCATTTACTTAATGCTGAAGAAATTTGGTGAATGTGGGAGCAAATTTCCCCTCAACATTTTATTATGAAAAATTTCAAACATGCAGAAAAATTTAAAGAATTATACAGTAAATACCTGTGTATCCCACCTAGATTCTTCAATTGACATTTTACTATGCTTGATCACATATCCATCCATCCATCCATCCATCCATCCATCCATCCACCCACCCACCCATCCTTCCTTCCTTCCATTCATCCATTTATCAATGAGTCTTATTTTTTTATGCATTTTTAAATTAAATCGCAGACATCAGGATGCTTCCCTGTAAATACTTCAGCACTAATGAGAGTTTAGAATTTGTTTACAATTCTTTTTAAAAAATTACTGAAGTAAAACTTACATTCAATGAAATGTACGAGTCTTAAGAGTATACCATTCAAAGCGTTTTGGCAAGTGCGTAACTCAAACCCCTGTCAAGATGTAGAACATTAATATCACTCTAGAATGTTCTCTCATGCCCCTCCAGTCAATCCCTGTCCCCATTCCCCCAGAGGCAAACACTACT